TTTAAATTTTGGAAATATATAATGTATATAAAATTATTACATGCTTTTATTACAATTTGACGGATACTTCGATAAAAGCTAAACCGAAATATCGAATATTTAAAAGGATTTGCATAATAAAAAAATAATCGTATTACCGAAATTATTAATTACTCGAATATACGAATCAAACTTTACAAATGTGGGAACAGTCCTATTGATTTTTTGGGTTCATTTTATATTTATATAGTACATCATAATTTATACAATTTATTATAAAATATTAGAAAAAAAATAGAGTCAAGCAAAATGCAAGAAAAAAATGAAAAAAGAAGTTTTTTTTTTTGTATAACGCATTCATATATGGATTAATTTTCATACAAAATGTTAAAAAAGATTTCGAAAATTCAAGAAAATATTCTTTGATTTATTCATCTTTTTTTTTTGTAGCAAAAGCATGCATGTGATTTTTTAAAATAATTTCTCAATGTTCAGATTAAAAACTTTTGTAAAGATAATCTTGGTAAAAATTTAAGTATTTAAGCATTTAAGAAATAATCTTCAAAAGCGCGCGCAATTTATTTTTGATATCTTTCTTATTTTTACAATTCAAATATTATTAAATATTCCAATGTTTTTATTGAAGTAAACGACGAATTTATCAAGAGCTACTCTTTCAATTTTTGAATTTATATTTTTAACAAGAAGAGGGGATATATTAAGATAGGATATAAATACATCATGTATAAATTCTTTTTTCTGATGGAATAATATGGTTGCACTATGTGATGGATCAGAAATCCTAACTCGTTAGTGAAACATGTAATTTATTAAAGGAACAACCTATTGTTAAAGCGGATTAAAAAACCGTTTGATCTCTCGGTTACTCCCATATCTTTAGATGCGCAAAATAGAGCAAACAAGGAGATTACAAGGAGATATAACAAGATCATTTTTAATCCATCGTTAATTGCGAAGGCACGGATATAATAAAAGATTCTGAGATTTTTTCAGTTTTTCCTCAAACAATTTATCTTTATAATAGATTTATCATGCGCTATTTATATACGAATATAACTATATATATATAACTTTGCATTTTCTCGTTGTAAAGAAAATAAAATTCTTAAAATATATTTGCTTTAGCGGATACATATATTATTTATGTATTCATTATGTTACTTCTCGGTCTTTTACGCGATAAACGATGAGAAAATGGCGCAATTAAAATTTATCGGAAACTGCGCAAATTTATGTGCAAATTACGTTTTAAAGGTAGGTATTAACGTGGATATGATGAGTAACAACACTTCCTGGAGAACGTCGCGATGAAAGTATGTACGCGGTGGAAAGTCGAGAAATGCGCAAATCGATTATTTCACTATGCCTAATGTTTATATCATAATCCCTACATTATGTTCCATAAGGAAAAAGGGGAAAATTATTTTCCGGAGGATTAAATTTTATACATGACAAGAGCGGAAGTTTATTTTTCGCTGACGGCATGTTTTTTCAGTGACATTTACAAAGTAAATTAAGTAAATAAATAAATAAAAGACTCGCGTTTAAAATAACAAAATTTTAGTTTGTATAATTTTAATTTGTTCTCTTATCTTGATATATACAATATATATATGTGTGTGTGTGTGTATACATATGCATGTACGTGTATATCTGTTTGTCTTATGTACCTTATTAATGATTCACACATTACCTTATTGATAACATCCTCATTGGACATTTCACTAGCAGAAATCTTTCTATTGCCATTACCGTTAAATTACCAATACTGGCGAATCCCATGGTAGTCATAAACCACGCGTACCTAAAGTAGGGAATCTTGTTGCCATAATTATGTGTAATGTGAATCTACTAAATAAAATATATTCTAAGACGTAGATTATATATTCGTGAATTAATATTAATTTTATATTAAATGTCTTTTACTTATAATTAAGAGAGAAGTTATAATATATTAGTATAATTAATGTATGAAATTTTGCTGTTGGTTATATTAATATTATCTATACAAGGTATTCTATATGAAAGAACATACATAGAAAACTTGAAAATTGTAGGCTTCTTGGGAAAAAAATATTTCTAAACTTATACCAAGATTATTTGTTTTTGAAAAAAACATTTTATGGCTTTGACCTCCCTATATGTTTGATCGCTTCCCAAATTTAAAGATTATTTATATTTCTTAAAATAAATTATATATTTTTCCTTATATAAACCAATTCTTCTCATCATTTTGCATATAAAAATACAATATTAAGAGAGGTGAGATTATATAAAAGAATAAGTATTTTATATTATACAAGAAAAAGAAGAATATTTTATTTTAGAATTTTTTAATTCTAGAGTATATGTATCATTTTTTGGCATAACATATCCGGTACATTTTTTTTTTAAAGATTGGCGTTTCTAAAATATTAAAGGTCGGCAGCTGTGACTGAATAATGGTTTAGGACCTTTAGGACGATAAAGATTTCTCTCACTTTTAGCGTTTTCAACGAGAGCGTTAGTCATGTGATAACAGCTGTTCAGTGACAACTAAAGTTTTTATAGCATATCCACATATACAGAAATACCTTTTTGAATTTTCAGAGAAATAAAAAAAAAATTATTGTGTTTTATAATTGTATTTATTACTCTTTTAATATTTCTGATCCAGTGTGATTGCGTTTAAAACTAATAAAAGAAACAAGAGTTTTATTTATCACAGTATGTAAGAAATTATACATAGCCATTGAAACAAAGTCGCTTTGCACGCTTGGGTATATATGTGCGTCTAAGATCGAAAACATTTTAAAATTTTTGACACTTTATATTTTAAAAACTCAGGATCAAGTTTATCAATTTTATCCGGATTAATTGCAATTGAAGAATCTTATAAATATATTATATGATACACAAATGTGTAATAGTTCCTAAGATATTTTAATCGAGAAAGTATGATTAATATAAGAATTATGGGTAAGAAGAAACGGTAGCGTTCGATGATAGTTCGATGAAAAATGTGTAGTCATAACCGAACTGTCAATACTTTTACATACTTGATATCGAGATACTTTCCAGCACATATTTTGATATATGCATATATACGAAATATCTCGTATTAACTTGTCAAATCTCACCTTAATATTTTTATATGCAAAATGAAAAAAAAAGAAAGATTTCTGTAAGAAAAGATATATAGTTTTATTTAAAAAATAAAAATAATGTACAAATCTCGGAAACGACTTTATCTAAATTAAAGATACACTATTAAAACAGTAATGTCGAAAAAACAAACGACTTTTTTTCGAAACATTTTGTCAGAAAGCCTATAGTAAATTTTCAAGTTATATAGATTACTCCAAATGGGACTCTCTGTATATATACGTCAGATTTTCTTGTTTTAATATTTAAAATTTGAGTAATAAAAGAGTACATATTATTTCATAATAAAAATATTTCTCTTAAATTCTGACACGGCAAAAGAAAGTAATTTATATATTTTAAGCGCGTATACGTTATGCATGTGTGTGTATCTCAAATATAATGTATATATACACAATGTATATGTATACATCTTATCAATTGTAAATTGTATTTGAGTTGAGAAAAATTTTTGTTGATGTTTCAACTATAATATGTATATACACGATAACAATATGTACTATTAATTGTATTATTTGAATCGGAAAATTCTTATTGACGTTTCCACTATAATGAAATGGCTATGTGTGTGCACGTTTCTTGTAAAGTCCAGATTAAAGCAACGGAGAAATATCATAGTTAAATTTGATACTTGATGTAACTTGGTGTTCAAAATTTGCATGATATTTACGCACTGTTAAGATTAATTTTTAGTATTATAGGCAACATTTATTGTCATGAGAAGTGAAAACTTTGCCTTTATAAAGGAAAATGTTATTCTATTATATGTATATATATTTATTTAAATAATAAAAATAATGATATATACCATAGACACACGTCATGGTTCCAATACCATGCACCAGCGATCGCAGACATCATTGCGACAGGATTTCCCAGCGCAGCTACTAAAAAATCCCCAACCTGTTGCAAATAAATGTGTCAAACATTACAAAAAAATACTCAAGGCTATGTATATTAATCGATCGATATCGTACTTAATTATGTATAATTTAAAGTTGTTATTTTTTCTAATTGTTTTAAAACAATAATTCCGATAGTTTATATTATATTCCTAAATTTGGCAGTTAATTATATGTGTGTGTGCGTATATATTTACAAAAAAAGTTCTACATATATAAGACAATTAACAAAAAAAAATATATTGTATATAATACATCAAATCCATTGATTTGATTGATTGAATTTTTGAAAACAATGTCATCATAATAGAAAAACTTTTCCTGGAAATATTTTGGAGAATCAGAAAAAAAACATAAGTAATTTTATTACATATAAAATATTGAAATAAAAATTAATCTCACTTTTTCTCTCTCTAAATTAAATTTAAAAATTATATATAAAAATAACAAAATGTGTAAATATTATTTAAATTTTATATAAGTTTAAATTAAGTTTAAACTAAAGTTAGTTAAGTTTTAATTTTCCAGGAAAAATGATGTATATGCAACTTGATTTTAGTGTAAAAAGCGTTCTATTTCTATTTGAATCAATAATTTTGTCTATTTCTTTGATAGTTTGTTATGCACATTAGTATTTTGCGAATTAGAATTTTGTTTTTGAACAAGCTTTTTGTGAAAAGATTATGTATTACTTTGAAATATATAAGTTGACAACATTATTATGCATATTTTTGTCGCGGTTAGTTTGTAAAATCAATCGTTTAAGAAAAAAAACTTAACTAGACATTTTATAAAACATTGATTTTTCTATAAAGATTTAGCGCTTTATATACAAAGTCTTTGATTTTACAAAAGGTCTGCAACGTAGAGAGACGTCTATAGATCTAGAATATTTTTATTCTAATTTAAATTACAGTCAAAGTTCGTATGGGTTGTGTACATTAAAGAAAGATACGATATGAATACTGCTTAACATATTCAGAACCTGTTTTCGTATGCATGTCACGTGTATTTGTACGTCGTATAGTTAATGAAGTTTTAAGATTTTTCCTTATTGCCAATTTATACCGTGGCATCGTAAAGAAAAAGTTTTCCTTGGCTGTGTGACGAAATACAGTTGATTTATCACATAAATTTAAATTAAACATCTCCTATGATTTTTCATCCTTATTTTTCAAATAGAGGTGGCTTGACATTTGAAAACATGTTTTTTTCTAATGCACATCTTAGAAATATTTGTTTACATATATTATTTATTTGCGGTTAATCTAGGATAATTGCGTATAATAAAGCTAATCAAATAACATGTTTCAAATTTTACAAAAATTAAAATGGAAAAGATTATTTGTGTAGTGTATGTGTGTGTATATTTATATAAAATTTATATAAAATTTCCAGAATTCAATATGATATTGCATATTTTTATATATTAGATTTTATATACCAGATTAAAACAGCTTCTGTATTTAATAAATTTGTAACTCTCTCAAAATTTCAAAAGCATATAATAATATAGAAAAGATTTGTTCTTCAAAACTATTGTATATGTTAAATTTATTCTTGAATAGAAGAGACTGTGTGGAAAGAAACTAGCTAATTTTTTGTTTTAAATTATCAATTTTTTTATAAAACTTTCTTTTGTGCAATAATTATATTTTTATTAAATTAATTTAAAAAATCGCACAGTTTGATATTCATATTTTACTGAAATATTATAATATTAAGTTGATATTATCTAAGAACGCAACACATATCGTAACACATTTGCTTAATCCGAGTATTTATATTGATTTTATCTTTTCTTACAACAAATACATCTACTTTATTAGCAAATGTATTCTTCTACTTTTATTATTCCTCATTGTGAACAATTGATAAATATATAATATTACAGTATATATATAACAGAAAAAACAGAGAGAGAGAGAGAGAGAGAGAGAGAGACAATCCAAAAACATTATATTAGTAATATCAAATACATATAAAACTTAACATCATATACAAATCTATAAAAAATGCCTAAATTTGACCTTTATAAAAATAAAGTTAATCTAATCTAATAATATAGATTCTATAAAACGATACATAAAGAAGAGAAATATATTTTTTATATTTTGTCAATTAAAGATTAAATAGCTATCTATTTAAATAGCTAGTAAAAATTAATATTATTATATATATACTACACAAAATAATTTATTTTAAAAAACAATATGGAAATAGATAAAAAAACAAAAAATAAAAAAAAAAAAAAAAAGAGAGAGAGAGAGAGAGAGAGAGAGAGAGAGAGAGAGAGAGCATATGTACTTTACAAGAAAGTTGATATACGTATCTATATATAATATTACAGTTTTAACCTAATTAATTTCAAATTATATATTTTCTTCTCAAGTAGCTCTTTGTCAAATATAGATCATTTATAAACTTTTCGTCATGCTATTATAAAAATAATAATTTTTAATTATTTGGTTTACACATTTACCGCAGTGAAAACAAATTTTAATATTGTTTATGCGAACTTTTATAATATTGCTAAATTATAAAAATGTCGAGATGTCTCTAAATTTTACTATACATATATACATATATGTAGATAGGATTGTTAAACACACATAATTATTTATAACTACACTTTATAAATATAATATAAATAATAGAAAGATTTTTCAACTATTTGTGCATCGAAAATTATTTTAAAATGAAATTGTTGTGTGTGTAAAGAACGATTTTGAATTCTGAGTATATTCCAATACTTGAGTTTGCAGGTCATCAGTTACAGAATTTGTCCAACAAATGATTTCCCGATATTTTTGCTAAAGAAAAATTGGTATCAACTTGATTAAAATATTCGTAGATAAAAATTGTAATTCTAGGATACCTTGTGTGTATTGTAATTTTGAAAAATCTTTTTATTACTTATAATATATGAATGAAATAAATATAGAATATATACCTATTCTTGTAAAGTAAAAATCGAAGAATTTAATATCCGTGCAAGACAATAAAATACTCAAGCATAAAATAAATAATATTGTCTAGATTATTATGCTCCATTTTATCATATTGACTACATGTTATAGGAATACTGTTTTAAACGATAGAGTTTCTCTCATAATGCATAGCATGATATTGTAGTTATGAATAGATAAAATTATCCGTATTGATCCAATTGGCATGTGATAGTTTCATTAATTTGCATTGCAAATCAAAACAATAGAGAAATTCATTAACTCCGTATTGTTTTAAAATTTCAATCTGCAATTAGTAATTTTCGCAATGTCATAGGATAATATGCTTTTGCAGTATAGAATGATATCAATATATATATAATTATATTGAAATAACAATATTAATTAAACCAGGTTTTTATAACTTCTATATATAATTAAATAATTAAAATATGTGTGTTGTATTTAATCAAATAATTAAAATTTATTTTTCAAAAATTGGAGAACTGTATATGTGTGTCATTACTTTCTTAAATTGTTACACATTTTTCCTTTTATAAACTGTTGTAGATAGAAATCAATAGAAGAGATATTTCTTCATTAATTACAGATTAATTAAAGGTCTTTTGAAACTTTCAGAGTATTGGATTCTTCTTCCTTTCTCTACCTTAGGATGCTCACAGCTTGATAAAGTTAATAAATCTTTATTTATCTTTTTGTTTGTCTCGGCTTTTATATACGATGATTTTTCTTCTTGACGTTTGTAATATTTATTTTCACATAAATTGGATTAGAGAAATATACTACATGTATATAAGGTATTAAAATACAAAGATATATATTTCTTAGCAAAAGATAAATATAAATTTCTTAGAAAAAGCTCTGACATATTGTATATATAGAGAATCTAATTTTATTATAATTTTCATGATGTCTCTTTGTGACATTTGCGGTTGCACATGTTTTTATCGTTTTATTATTAAATGTTTATCGTTTTATTATTAAACGTTTATCGTTTTATCGTTTTATTATTAAACGTTAATCGTTTTATCGTTTTATTATTAAACATTTATCGTTTTATCGTTTTATTAAATGTAATATTAAACGTAAAAAATGCATTATCGTTAAAGTTGCATTTTAAATGTAGAGAAGTTAATTTCTGCGCGCTGATCATTATCTGCAACTCAAATTCGATAGAGCGATATGGCAATAATACTTACAACCATATTGGCGAGGATCACATTGTTGGGTGTCCAGAGCACGTTGGCTTCTTTGACAATTGTCAGGATAACCAATAAATTCAGGATGAATCCGAAGAAGCCGATGATACCGAGTACGATGGCCGCGAAAATGTAAATATCGGGCAACCCTTGTTCCCCGACATCCGGCGGGCTGGTGCTCAGATTCAAAGACATGTGTACTTCCTATCGTCGAATAGGATTTTCGGTTAGATCGCGGAAATCACCTGTTCTATGATAGAAAGAGAATCGAAACACTCGGTCGACAACAACAGCGGAATTAATGTGGTTCTGTCTCGCTCACTTGTAAAAAAAAAAAAAAAAAGAACCTGAGAAAACGAGCGGCGGGAGTAACAAATGAACAACGAGAATAACAAATGACACAACGGCAAATCCGTCCCGGCCGTATTAATCAAAACCAGTGGCAGAATTTCAAAGTCATACTGCCCTTATATAAAGTTCGCCCAAGCCGCCCCCGCCGCACTTTCCCCAGCCGTCCGGCAGCCAACCAACCCCTGACAACGTGAAAAAGCAGCATGCGCGCAGATGAAGCGGATCGCCAATGTTTCTTCATCGAAGCGCGATGTTCGTCTATTAGAATTACGTTCCAACACGCAACATAACGCACGCGCGCGCACACACACACACATCTTTGTTATAAATTATAAGCGCAATATTTTAAAATAGTATACTTATACATAGAATTAGTCATTAAATTTCCATTTTTAATTAAAATATATATTTTATAAAAAAAATGTTTTAGATAAAGTCATATTTGATTTCGAAAAAGATATCCTATAAGCACAGCTTTTTTCCAGATAAAAGCGTTTTCGAGATTTCAAGTTTTCTTTTTTTTTATTTTTCTTACTCGGTTCTCCCTGTATGATTCTACGTATAAAAGGTAGAATCATAAAAAAACAAATATTATGAGATATTCCATAATTTATTGTGACATATGTGACTTAAGATATGTAATATCTTGTAAAGTATTCATTCTTCCATATTAAAGAATTTGTTGAATTTTTCATAGAATAAGAAATAGAATCGTTTCATATGATTATATGCAAGTATAATGTTGAATCTGCAAGATACAATTTCACATTTAATTTTAAATGCAATTATACATATTTTTTTATGTTAATTCGATTTATTCTGTACATGACAGTAAAAAAAGATGTATGGTTTCGTCAAAAAAAAAAAAAAAAAAATGAAACCGGAAACGCCTTTGGAACCAAATTGTATTGATCATAATATATTTTCCTATGGTTTCGTAAAAAAAAAAAAAAAAAAAGATGATACCGGAAACGCCTTTGGAACCAAATTGTATTGATCATAATATATTTTCCTGGAAATCAAGTAGAGCCTCTTTATCTAAAACATTTCTCTACAAAACACGTATCTTAAAATTTATTAGGGATAACAGGATAGATTTGATAATTCACTTTATGTGTGTATTGTTTCTATTTTCATGAATGTCGATTTGCTTGAGCAAGAATTCTGCTGTAATTTAAATTACTTTTTGCTTTTCTGTAATTTTAGTTCTTTTAAGGAGAGAAACAAAGAGGTTCAATTTAAATTATATATTTAAAGTAAACTAATGTGTTGATAAAACCGACACTATAATCTTTTATATATCGACCAATCATGGAATGTTTTAAAATTTCAAAGTTCGTGAACTATTTCTTCCCATTTGCGTTTTTTAATCACATTATTACAACTCGATACTGTCTCCATATTGTGTTTCTATCTCTCTTTCTCTCTCTGAAAATAAAATTCTATCTGGTTCTCTAAAACTCACTCAAGTTACGAGATCAAATTACGGTATCATCTAAAATAATTGTCATTTTCTATAGAAGAATACAACGTTTTGTGATGTTTGTGTACTCTCCGATTTGATTTGGCGATTTATCGAGAGAAAATATTACTTTTTATTTTGGCATGTCTTTTCTCTGTTTCTCGTAAAAGCGCGCATATTGTTGAGAAAAATAAACCCCCAAAAATAGTGGAAGAATTTATAAGGATTAATATTAATATTGTATTTTTATCGCGATAATTTTTCAATGTGTTAAACAGTTAAACAATTAAAATTTTGACAAAACGATTAATGATTAATGCAATTTGAGAAGAGGAAAAAAGTCTAGTCATCATTTTAAAATAGATTTCAATTTCTTTTTTTAAATGGTTTTTGCTTAAAAAATTTCTGTTTATAAAAATTAACATATAGATATTCATAATTATGTAACTTCTCGTTAACCAATAATTGATCTAAAAATTGGAAACAAATCCATCATTGAAGTAATAATCCACTCTATGCATAACATCCGTTATTATTAACATTTGTTCAATTACTGTGAACAAACCCGTCATTATTGTAAGGAACTCGTACTCGATAATTATACTTATATTACGTATATTAAGTATGTATATTACGTACGATAGTTTATTGCGATTCTTTGCAATTGCACGATTAAATTGTATTAAACCTACATGAAAACATGCGGAATAAATCTGCGAATTTTCTCTTGTATATGACAGAAATTTTTGTATAATTTGTTACAAGTTTTTGTAGCGAAGTTTTTCAACATGCTTGCTAAGGTCGGGAGATAATACCTTCATTGGAAGAATTTCTGCACGCGTTATAAATTGAAGACTGATTGCAACAAATACCTGGCTCACATTTTTTTTACGAACGTTGCTCCTTAATTTCATTAAAAAGAAATAACGAAGATGATATTGTTGCGCAATTAAATCGAGCTTGTTTTTTCGTTATATGCTGTTATTATAAATTGGATATAAAAATACAATCCAAATAACATTAACAATTATCAGCTAAAAAAAATTCGAGCGTTAAATAATCAATTTTCTACATAGAAAAAAAGGTAACGAGTTGAAACTCACAGATAGAAATCTATAATTTTTGTCTATAATCATTTCTAGTATACCGCATAAAATTTTTAAATATCATGCAAACACATCAATGATGTTTTCTTAAACAAAGGACTCTTTATTTACTTCATTGTTAAAATCTTGAATCGGTGCATATATATTTGTGTATTAATATTTAATTTTATCGTTTGCAATACAAAGAATTTTAATGGCAGTAATCCTAACATTTTACATATCCTCAGTATCGCTATCCGAATCTTCCGCCATTGCCTGCCGTGCCTTCGTCTCGGCCTCAGTTTTTATATCGTTTGGTACACGTTCATGTCTTCCATTGGTATGGACGCCAACCCAACTCATTTCCAATTCGAACTGTTTATCTTTCAATTCATCATGGACGAGATAAATAATACGAGCAGCTTCTTTAACTAAATCCTTAGATGACATCTCTGGTAACTTTAACTTTTCGATTTCTGTTTTTGCCGACTGTTTTGCTTTACCTATGAATGATATATATATACATATATATATATAAAGTATAAATTTCTTTATATATATTCCAATTTTGTTATCAGTATTTCACTTACCTACTGCACAACCATAGTAACCATACGATACTCCTGATGGGTCTATCATATATAATGCTGGACCGTCAGTTTCATAGGCGCTGAGTAGAACGGAGCAACCATAAGGACGTACAGCAGAATACAAAGTATATGCGTGCATGTACATGGATACCCTTTCGTTTAAATACTTCAGTGGAATACCAACTCCGTACTGTGCCTTATAACTCGCAGCTTCTGATCTTGCAGTCTCTGCGATTTGTCTTGCATCTGATATTATACCAGAGATTGCCATACCAACATGTTCATCTATATTGAATATCCGTTTATTAGCACCTACTTCATAGAGTTTTGATGTCACTATCTTCTCTACAGCAAATACTACACTGTCTTTTCCTCGTAAGCCGATAACTGTTCTGCAACAAGATTGCAATCACATATATACATAAATAAAACATAGATATATGTGTACTTCTTATTTTTTTTATGAATATTTAATCAAATATTCTATACAAAATTGATTTACACTATTATTAATTGTTATGTAAGGACAAAATGCAGTTACTATTTAAATCAATATTATGTAAAAGTTTATTAAAATGAATGTAAGACTCACCCTCCATTTTCTACGGCTTTCTGAGCATATTCTACTTGAAATACGCGTCCGTCTGGCGAAAATTGCGAAGCGGACAGGTCGTACTGCAAGAAATATTAAGGTTAAGTTCCAATGTCAGTCACATTTTAACATTATTATTCACAACCATATCTCGCGTAATGCATAGTATACTCACCCCTGTGCCTATCGAACTCATTTCTCAGAAAAGATATACAGAAAGTAACTTTAATAACTGTAATACGAAAAATTGTTTACACGTCTACGACGTGAATAGGCGAAAATCAAACGACTCGACCAAACTCGGCGCTTGCGGTACTTGCAATAGTCAGCGCGATTATCAGGATAGGTTAGATAAAAGCTAAAAGCATATATGCAACGTCATCTAGTGGTAGAGAGCGGCAGACACATGTGAACGAGACATTATCTTTAATTATATATATACTTATATAGTTAAAGAACATCATGATGATAAGATCTCAATCTCCATCACGTTTTTTTTATCATTGAGATTTACGAGTAGAATAAATAATGGTTTGGATTATTTTTTCACTTTATGGTACGTTTCTAAAGTTGATATCAGATTTGCAAGGTTGGGTATAATAATTAAACAGTTAAAAGATGAGTTAAAAAGTTAATAACTTTTTTAAACTTAACTTAAGTTAAAAAGTTGAAAAGTCAATAACTTTTTAACTTAACTAATTTTAAACTTGTTAACTTTTAACTTAAACTATTTATTTTTAAATGCATTAATGTTAATATTTTTTATACAAGTTAAAATAATTTATCAATATTAAAGTCGTGTGAAAATGGTTGATCGTAATGCGAATATTTTATTTATCGTACAACAAAAGTTTGTCCGATATGTCGATTTGCTGTTGGATAAAGAATTAACTTTTATTTTTATATTTTTTGTACGAATAACAATGATCAACAAGACATGCAGAAAGTTATCTTAGTACTTTTTGGACACGATATTATATTTTTTATGAAAACAAGATTATTATATAAAATGCAAAACATAATTTCAAAAAATAATTTTTATTTTTTTATTAATTATAACAATATTATTTCCATTTTCACGAGAATGTCTGTATGAAACTAAAGCATTTTTAGCTTATTGGATGATTATCATTATAATTGTGCTAAAAAATAAGGCATATATAATTTCTAAAATTTTATAATAATACTAAAATATTATTTATTAATAAACTTTAATTATAACATAATTTTTATACAATTTAATCTAAGAAAAAGAGTGTTTTATAGATATGATATTAATGTTTGCATTATCTTTTTTTGCTTTGCAAGAAATTATTTATGTTCTCTTTTTTACAGCTATACTCTGGTGGACATCGCTCGATATTGCCGTATTCAATCGCCT